CCCCAAAACCCCAAAACCCCAAAACCCCAAAACCCCAGAAAACTAAGAATTTAATTTTCTGATGGTTAAAGTATTAATTTATGACTGAATAATCTTGTGAATTATTATAAATGGATAAGATAAATTTTCCTTTAAGAATCACTAAATACACTTTTCAACGTGATCTAGAGATATCATCTGATACTAAAATTTGTCTTTATGAGGACTAGAAAGGCGATTAATTTGCAATTAAACTATTCAATCAAGAAGCTTAATCCAAATTTAAGACAGAAAAAACGATAGTACTAGAAATATAAGGAAAGAATATGCTGGGTAATGTTCTGCATCCCAGATTAATCTATGATGGAAACTACATTATAAAATGTGAGGATGGGTAGTAGCTCCAATACTTAGTCTATGAATATATTCCGATGGATGTAGAAGAATTCTACTAAATTCAACTATCTATAAATGAGATTTAAGCCAAGGATAATTGTATCAAGCAGATGCTTACGTCAGTAAAAGAATTTCACAGACTAGGATTCATCCATCAAAATATAAAACCCAGCTCATTTAAAGTTAAAGATGAACTTCTATATTTGCTTGGAATGTCTAGCTCAAGAAAGAGTACTAAAACCCCTTATCAAAATAGCATTACTGGAAAAATACCATCACTCTTAACTTAGTCTATTTTTGTAGCTAAAGACCTCCCTCCCCTTAAAGGTGATGATTTAATATCCTGCTTATATTCCATCTTGATCATCTTTGAACCTCAAAATGTGTCTTGGGTAGATATTTGTTCCAAAATCTAAGATTAGCCAAGTATTGAGAAGCAAGAATAGATTATAAGATTGAAAGAGAATTTAAATAGTTCAGACTTTGAAGATTACTATTGTCAAATAATTGTAGCACTCATAGGCGAACTTTAAGATCTAAGATAATAAGATGTTTAGAAATATTCTGAGGCGTTGAACTTCGAAGGAATTTAATCTCGCATCTTGAATATGGATCATAGATCAAAAGTTTATATTGAATAGGAATAATCAGGATCCTAATATGATAAGAATTAAGGATTCAGTTTCAATAGTGCCAATCAAAATACGCTTAAATAATAAGATGAAATCAATGAATATTAATTGCCTTATAATGTTTCAAGTCAATTACGTACAGACTCAAGCAGATAAAAACAAAATAGGAAGTATTAGTAATAATCTGCTTAAAACGTAAGACCAGTATAAGGAAACTGTTGCCAGAAATGCACAATATTTTGATTTATTACTGATTAATGAGCAAATGCATACATAGCAGAAGAGTATTAATAATTTAGCTATATTTTCACTAATAGTTCATACTTCTAATGTGAATCAATATCATCAAATAATTTCATAACATTTAACTTTTAAAATAGTTCCTGCTTTTAATGTATGGGGTTTTGGGGTTTTGGGGTTTTGGGGTTTTGGGG